CCCAGTTTATGCTGTGAATTCATAGGGAACAGGTTCCAACAACTCAGGCTCCTTTCCATTGGTCCTTACAAAGTGTGCTTCTCTGGGAGGGGCAGGCTGGCATTTCAGTTGAACCCAAGTACCACTTCACTTTCTCTTTGGCTTCCTTCTTTTTTGGATCATTTTCCTTGACACATTTCAGGAAGCTATCATGACTCTCAGTGTTTAATATGCTCAATACTCACATTAATCCTCTTGACAAGTATCTTGCCCTTAACTTGCTTGTTTACAACAATGCCAACAGCATGCTGGGTAACATTGTAGACTCTTTCCGTTTTGCCATGGTAACATTTGTGAGGCATTCCTTTTTGCACAGTACCCATTCCTTTGATGTCTACAATATCACCCTTTTTGTAGATTTGCATGTATATGGCCAAAGGAACAACCCCATGTTTTCTAAAAGGTCTGGAAAACATTTACCAGGTTCCCCTCTTCTTGTCCTTTGTGTTAGTCATTTTGGCAAATTACTGGAAAATGGCAGTTCTGGCTGAAAGGCTGTCTTTTCTCTTTAACAAAAGATAATTATAGTTTCAGCTATCAGATCTTGGTTATAAAAATCAAGAATAAAGAAAAGCCAAAAAAAAAAAAAAAAGAAAGAAAGAAAGACACAAGCATCTGCACCAGAAAATCACAGTGACTTCCAGTTTCTATTTCCACCTCACTGGCCAGAATTGGGTCAAAGGCCATTCTTGACCCTACAATATATCATATGTAATATATAACAATATATAACTATAATGTAATACATATATAATATATTATGGAGGTCTGTTTGTGCTATTCACTTTAGGAGAGGAACACAAGGAAAATGAAAATCAGAATGAATTTTGACCCAAACTATAATGTCTTTCCTAGTTACACTGCATTGAGATACCATGAGACACTGAGGGAGGTGTCCAGGAAGCCTCAACAGAGGCACAGCTTGGGAGTCATCCACATTGAAGCAGAGGCTCTGCTGTGTAGGTGAATGATCAGGGCTCAAAGGAAGAGATTCAAGGTCACAGCTCTAGAGAAGCCCATACCCAAAGGATCAGGCAACAGTACAGAAATCTTCAAAGGCTCTTGGTGTTTGCTAACAGGGTAGGTTCACCAAACAAAGGAGGTAGCATTTGCAGAAGAAGAAGAGAATGGAGTGGAAAATATAAGTGAAAGAGGAAAACTTTCACAGATAGAGGGAAACTTACCTTGCTGCAACATAAGAAATAGTGGAAAACACATATCTTCACACGTTATCAGTAGTTGACAAGAAACTGAATAAACTACTACCTACTGGGTTCATTGTGTATTTTTCGTGAAGGAAGAAAAATGTTGTACAACGAGACCAATGAAGGTACTGAAGTAATGGAGTACCGAAATTGGGGTGTTGGGAGGTACTGAATTTGGGGGTTGGGAACATAGAACAATACTTAGGTGTTAAAATAACCTTTCTGGAGAACAGGAAGAGTTCCAAATGGAATAATAGAAATAAATATTACCAAGCAGTACCTAGAAACCAACGAGACACTTTTTTACTCAACATTTGTGTGACTTTTTGCTGCTTCCCCCAGCAGGTATGTAGAGCCTTCCCTGAAGACTAATTATATATTTACAAAGTTAAAGTGTTGCTGTGCACCTCTGACAAAACAGAAAGGGAATGGATTGTTTAGGGACATAAGTGGAGAGCATGGACATAAATTGAGGGTTAGGGTCATAGGAATGGAAATCCTGTATGACTGAAGGACAGGCAAGAATAATGTCGGGAGAAAAATGTGTTTTATTTGGAGAAAAGAAAAGATGTTAGATTAAAAGTGGAGCAGCTGGGCTGGCGAGATAACTCAGTGGCCTAAGTGCCTGCTTAGGCAAACACAGGACCGGGGTTCAATCCCTGGCACCATATGCTGCGCCTGTCTGGATCCCTGCTGTGCTGAGCTGTCCCACAAGATCCAGTGTGGTGGTACACGCCTGTAATCCCAGCACTGGGGAGGCTAAAAACAGTGGGATCACTACAAGTCCAAGCTTTGCAGTGAGACCCTGTACAAATACATAAAAAAATAGTAAATAAAAGTAAACAATAAAAGTGGAGCAGCTTTGGTTTGATGGAAAAGTTTTGAAGTTTGTCTAAACATCCTATTGAGTGAAATAGAAAAGATCTGTATGGACATTTAATGGCAAATTGTGAAATAGAGAAAATGCTGATAACCAAAGTGTCCTGCTGGCAAATGTGAAAGCATTAAAATATTGATAGGAGCTAGCCACAAGGGAAAAGCCAGGGAAACTGAGTCACAGCAAAAGTTAATACAATCGAATAATGGTGTGAAGGAGGCAGCTGTGTGACGGGAAATCTAACCCTCCTGACTATGCAAAGGGAGACCAAGAGGTGATGGTGGGGAAGCCTTCGCAGGGACAGCTGCTGAGAAAGCTCTTTTATCCCCAGGGGAGGGGATATCATGGGAAGCTTTAATGGTTGTGGGAAAAATGTGCTTTCTATTTTGCAGAGTAGCAGGGACCAGTGAAATCCTGTTAAGTTGTCTGAGGGGAGGAGTGTGGCACATGCAGGCGAGAGGAGAGGTGGACAGCAGCCTGCACTTGGGTCCAGGCATGAGGCTGCGAAGGATGTGGGGCTGCCGGGGGTGGGGGGATCTACTGGTGAGAAGATTTCTCACAGCCTCAGCCTGAGTAAGGGAGGGGGCTCCAGGTGTCGCTGATACCTTTGTACCATGCTAGGAGCTCAGTGGGGAAAATATGTCAGGAAGTCCCATAGTGAGTGAATCTATATTTCTAAATTTAGGCAGACATTTAAAATTATTTTAAGAGAGAAAAGGTTTTTTTTTTCAATCTGAAAAGAACGACACCATGTGACCAATAAAGGGAGGTGAGGCTTTTATAAGATAATACCAACTTAAATAGTCCAATTTGGTATTGCTGTAAAAATACAGCAATGACATTTAAAAATGAGAAATATTACATTTTTCTTTGTGGCAAAATAGTTTAGCAAGGAAAAAAAACGGGCTTCCTGATGAACCAGTAGCCAGAACTAATAGCCACGTATTCATGGGTTGGTTAGGGGTGCAGCCAGGAGCACCACGATGCCTTCTGTCATTCACTCCAGTGCTTCATACAAATTTAGGTAAGTTGTGCATATTATTTCCTAAACATGTGCACTGTGCGAGTTTGAACAGGACATCCTAGTGTGTCACCTTACTGTGCTCTGCTGAGACCATGACAAGCACCTCAGGAATCCGCAGCTTTTGTACAAAGTCTTAGCATACCCTGTGCGTGGAGATTTCTGGAATTCTGCCATGTTAATCAGTTCTGCTGAAGAACACTTTTGCTGAGTGTGCAGAAGCGCAGGTTCCAGAACAAGACTCTGAAGATCAAAGGAACTGTCTTTCATGTTTGTGAATGTACCTGGACCTGACCAAACAGGAAAGTGACAGAAAGTTCTAATCCAAACAAAGAAAGCAATGCTCTCATGTTAATGAGTTTTTCCTTTCAAGTTTGGTTTTAAAATTGAACTACTGGGTTAATCTCTTTTAAGATCTAAAGAAGATATTGAAAAAATTTTGCATGTTCTGAAAAACTTTTACATGTACATAGTTTGATTGACTCCTAGAAGTTTGACTGCATTCTATGTTTCTACAGTGGCTTGACCCAGTAAGGAGTTTGTATCTTTTGTGGTCAAGTGTAGAGGTGGCAGCCCAGAGTTACCACTGCACACCCAGTGTCACCTCTGTCCTGCCTGCTCACCTCTACCTCATGGTCACAGGAGGGCTGCACATCCCTCAGGCTCACCTCTGTGTTCTAAGCAAAAAGAGAAGCAGGGTGATAAACAAAGAATGGTGTTAAGGGAATAAAAATTTTCCATGGATCAATAATTGATGTTTATTTAGCTAGTATTTACTTAGATTTTATTGTTTTATTTTTTTTTTCTGGATCTGTGTCCCACAGCCACATGTAACTATAAGGGAGACTGAGAGATAAATGCTTTTTTAAGTGCTGGATATGTTGATATTTCCAACAACAAATGGGTCTTTTTTTTTTTAAAGTATAACATTCAATTTATTATTTCTTTCTCAAGAGAGTTTTTTTCAGTCCATTAAGACCCAGCTCCCCTTACATGGGCTTTGGTGGAGGTCGTGGGGCAGCACCAGCAGGTCTAAATCGGGGTGGAGGAGTTCGGTCCTT